ATAAGTGTATTTAGTAAAGAATTTTCTTTTCTTGAGAAGATTTACTGTAACTTTTTATTCTGTCAGTTTAATTGGCTCCTCAGCAAAACAAAATACAGAACAGCTTTACAGCAATCATTACGGAGATGGCTGTTTAGTACATTGTTTTCCTTTAGGTACAATAAATATAACACTTCCTGCCCTTGAAAATCTAATAAAAAAACGGTCCTTTAACCATCTTTTAAATGCCTGCTTCGGGGGGAGCAGGAAGTGTGAGGAGAAGAAAAGCTTATTATGTCATTGTTGCCGTCTCCCCTTTCCTTAGAATGCACATTAAGTATGCTATCTCCAGCTATAGTTTTGCTCCCATAAGGGGGCACCCTTGATTGCGGCCTCAGGGACATCAGGTGCATCACACTGGTGAGCTGCTTCAAAATGCTTAACACAAGCACACTGCCAGCAAAGATGTGATGCTCTATGGTACTTGCATAAAGCTGGGAAGATGTTTGGTACTGGCATTGGCCCCCACTTTGGTGCTATGGCATTTGAGTGTACTGTCCATCAGGTAGCCATTTCTTATTAAAAGGATAAAAGTGTGGCTGCTCTTGCACTTTTGCTTCTGAAGAAGGGATAGGGAAGAACCATGTATTTTAAACCTATACCTAGATTTCTGCAAAGTTGAAAGTTTTAATTGGATTCAAATTTTGGCTAACACGGGATAGCAAGCAATAGTAGCAAAGAATGGCTTCGGGCTTTTGTGTAGTTCCTTGCTCAAATCTGGATGCCAACTGATTTAACACTGACTGCGTCCAAACAGAGCAGCTGCTGCCCATCAGCCACCGGGACACAGAGTCTTGATCTGTGAATCAGCCAGGGCAGGTGTCAATCAGAGCATGCTGCAGCAGCCTTCCAGCCCATGAGAATGGTGTTTCTCTGCACAGGGTCCAGAGCATAGAAGGGGAGGAGAGACGGTGCATGTACGTCTCGTTAGCTTCGTTTCAGAGAGCAGTTGGGCTGGACACAGTGCATACACAGAACTAGAAGCCAGGAGGTGCTGTTGAGTTCTGAAATGAAGTCCCAGAAAGCTCCAGGTCGGGGAAAAACTGACATCCAGGTTAATTTGAGTTAAGTTCAGATGAAGATCAAGATTCTTACTACAAGAGTGTGAGGCTCCAATCTAACACAGAAGCTCACTCAGCTTTAGTTATGAAGGAGGTTGATTTATACAGCTCCAAACGATTCTTAAGGGCTCAAGGAAACATTAACTCTAGAAAGAAGATAACTACCAGCTACAATTCTCACTTGATAGAGAAGGGAGCTGAAACAGGGGTTTAAGTCCTCCTCTGAGTTTACATTTGCATAACTTTGGCCTAAAGATTATGTGGACTCAGATCTGCAATTACAAAATGTCTGCTTAAACTTCATAGGCAGTATGTATTTGTGGCTATATTTATGTTCAGGACTGAGTTACTAGAAAAAGAAAAAAAAAAGACAACTCTGCCCATTACTTTACATTTCCTTTTTCAGGATAATAGTTCTGGTTACAAAGACCAAGTATTCTCATCTAGTTGGTCACCTTATATCTTCATGTATAACAACAGTAATCTATTTCTTCGTAAGGTAACTCATACATAGGCTTACTGTCACCTCCAGGTATAACAAATCCATTTATTAATTTTCTTTTTTTCTTTCTTTTTTTTTTTTAATAGCAACCTTTTCACACATTGGAAGATGCATGCAAAGCACAATGGCTGTGAATCAATGTATATCAAGATGGTTCCTGTTCTTATTGCAGCCTTAGCTGTCACCCAGATTGTGCTTTCTCAGTGACAGCAAAGACACTGTCGATCATACAGCGTGAATAGCTTGCCAGGAAGACAGCGATTTTGGACCCCTAGTGGTTAAGACTGATCTTTCTCAGGTAACACTTGGGAGTCATGACATGTTCTTAAGAGTTTACATCTAACAAGACAGCTGAGCCACTGTGGAAAGCACCAAGCCATGGCTTTTGGTCAGATGGAGAATAGCTTTTATGTAGGAACTAAAAACAACTTGTATTTTATTTTCTGTGGATGCATACTGATGCTGTGGTCAGTCTTTAGTAGGTGAAAGCTTTCAAGGAAAAAGCTTTGAGTCTGCAAACTGTCTAAGCAGAACAAGGTCACTATCCTTATCTAGATGAAGTAATGTTACGGAGGGTTTACTGAAAGAATTCAAGGCCGGTATTCATCAATTTATTCATGCACATGCCTAATTAGAGGGAAAGTTTGTCTTGTGGTTAACGTGCTAAAAACTGGGGCTTATGGTGCTTCACATCACTTCCTTTCCCCTACCACAGACTTCTCTGCAAACCTGAGGAAACAAGAGTGACATGACCTCCACCCCTGACCTCACTATCCAATAGTTCTTTTAAAAAAACAGACTTCTCAGAAAGGGCCATTCCTTAAAAAGCAATGTGAGTTTTAAGTAAATGTTAAACAAATAATGGGGATTACAAACATATTTTGAACAGGCAGAATTTTAAGAAGACAAACAGCTTCTTAGCTTTTCCATCTGCCCTAAACCATCTGCAGATTGAAATCTGGTCTTTGGTAACTGAATTTCTTAATAGCAGGGACATCGATAACTGTCATGATCAATACTTTATCTCTTGGCAATTGCTCCTCAGACTCTAAAGCATCATAACCCCTGATTTGACAAGTCTGTTAAACACTGAAGAATGAAATCTTGATAAAATTTACAGAAATTGTTTTGGTTCAGGATATATAAAAGCAGCCTGATCTATGACAGCTTTACTGTTAGTAGAGTTTCACAGTAGCATAAAATTGCAATACAGAGATTGCAAAACAGGCTTTTCAGCTGTACCTAGAAACAGGTCATCATGACAACATATATGCAGGTGAAGTATCTAATGAAGTCACAGGTAGCACAGGTCACTGAGGTTTTTAGCTTCATAACACCTCTGCAAATACACACCCAACCCTGAGCGCACACATAACCTGAGCATGTATAGTATAATCATATACAGTGTTACTTTACTCACTATGTTCTCTTTAACTTCTCTTCTAGACCAGTTCTGCTGTATAATTCAATCGTTTTTTGCTCGTGTTAGCATCTCAGTTCAGAGATTTTCAAGTATTTATTTCCCATCCATTTTGTGTTACTGATTTCAACAGACATTTAGAATAAAGAGCACAGCACTGAAGTGACTGAAGTCACTCAGACTGTCCACGTCTTTGTTTTCTATCGAAAATATTTCGCATGAGACTGGTATTGAATCAGTGTTGAGACATACTTGAATTCTGTGTACGCATACAGTGATGAGCAGCTGTGAAGGTCCCTATCTGCCTGGGAAAGCCTGTAGGAATCTAAAAAACATGCACCCTGGGTTGCATTGGCATTATACTCCTTAGCAGTATTTAAAGTTAGTTAATGTGCACTACATAGACTTAACTTCTGTCAAAAAATACCAACAGCCAACACTTATCACAGTTCTATTACTTGGGTAACTTAGCCTTCAGCAATTGAAGCTTCATTCCCAACTATTAATTTACAGGAGCCAGTCACATCTACAGAGTGACATAACCGATACAGAAAAATATACATTGAAATAGAAATGAAATTTAGTCTAATATAGGGAGGCTCTAATACAATTGCAACCATCACAACCCTTTAATAAAACTTTTTGATGGGTTTTGTGTGTTTGCAGTACTTTTTAAAATAAACAAAGCATCTGCACCAGAAATGTGTTGGGGCCTCAATTTCAGTACATAGCTGTGTGGCAGCAGCAAGGCCTCCTCCAGTAAAAGAGGAACTGAAACAGAGCTGCTTTCAGTAAAAATAGCAGCACCAGAAGCTGAAGTTCACTTTGTACTGCATTTTGGCAGTTCTGCTTCATGCTCTGTTTATCTGGGAGAGTAATATATTCTCACACCTATCACCTATGTTTGAAGCTACTTCATAATAGCAAACATCACTCACAGTGGGTCTCTGCCAATGGTTTATTGCATTTATTCCATGTCAGGTAACTTAAGAGTGTTTGTCACCAAAATAACTTAAAAGTTTGTCTGTTAAGTTATAATTGCCCTCATGTTTCATATCCAGATACTTTTGTATAGTTATCAAACACACCGTTGATCTTTAAAAGCACATCATTCAAGTCACAAATTTCTACCAGTATAATAACTGCAAAAATATGATCCACTGTACTTTGAAAACTAACAAATAGGACAAGCAATAAGACATAAACTTGACTGATGACACAGATGAAAAATAGCTAGTATATATTGTTGCATCAAGTAAGGAACCTGATTTAGGAGCAGAAACTGTAAAGATGGTGGCATTTAGGATTTAAGCAACTTGGTTAATGTATACAGGAAATTGTTCATTTGCCATAAAAATAAACAACAAAAAAATACATCTACTGCTCCCCTAAGTACAGGCAGGTCTAGATTTCTGCATTACAGTTCTTCCAGGTGGCAGTTATTATGCTTGTGTTCATGTGCATATCATTTTTGTTTGATTTGGTAGGAAACATTTTAATAAGTCAAATTTGAAAAACAACCACATGCTCACTAAAGAGAAAACAGCCCTCTCCTTTTGCTGGCTTACGCATTTCTCTTACTTGCCATCCACCTTTTGACTGTTTGGTTTATGCCTGTATAGTTCACATACAGGTTAGACATAACAGTGGCTAATACTGAAGAAACCAAACACTTTCACCTGCCTGTGACAATATGCTTACATCCTTAGGAGCAAAAGAGGAAGTAAATTAGACGTAGAGGTAGAACATGTTGTTTTCAATTGGAGGGGGTAAACTTAAGCTCTTTTTTTCTGATCAAAACCTGCTCTTTTTCTTACATGCAAACGTGAAAAAAAAAAAAACAAAAAACAGAAGCTTGGTTTCTTTTTGAAAGAAAAGGAAATGAAGGTCAAAGGGAGCATAAAATCAGTCCACAATGGAAAGGCCGTTCATAAAGGCTTAAAAATAAAACCCAAAATAAAAAGCAGTGACTACTTACTAGATACAAAAGAAACAGCACCAGCCTGTACCTTCCAAAAGAGCTTTATCCAGGCTTCTTGAGAATGTAAAAAGTCCTCCTGAAAAAAACCAACTCGCTCAAAAAGGCTCCTATTTCAAAGAGGCAAGAGCAAAAAGTTGCAGCAAAGCAACAGAGGCTCAGCTGTGGATAATTTTGGCAAGAGGGAAGAGTTTGCCCTTTACCAGGTGGCTACATCTAAAGTACCATGTCATGACCTTGGCATGGGAGGGAGACAAAAAATAAGGGAGGGGTTTTTCTAGTAAGTCTTGGACTGAAATAAAATGCAGGCCACTTTTTCTTCTAGATGGTAGGTGGCAGTTTGGGGTTAATGTCTGTATGATGAGGAAGTAGTTAGAGAAAACGATCTTTCCTCAGCTATTTTTGAAAATTCTCTATTGTTATTTGAGATTTTCAGAAATAAATATGGAGCCTGTGTTCTGCTAATTCACATTGTACAAACCCGGTTTCTCAATAGGTTTTCATCTGTGCTCACATAATGCTCTCATTTCTCCATTTTGCTCACAAATTTTGCACTCCTCTAATGCAGTGAGATGCAGGCAATTATATATTTGCAACTGCATTATGTGCTCTAGGATGGCAACAAAGAGAGCTAGTCAGAGAATTATCATCCTTGAAAAAAACATTCTGTCCTGTCCAAGACTATTCTATCAATTTTTCTCAACATAAAGGCCGGAGTCTAGCATATCAAATGGGGAAGGAAGGAAAAAGCTTATTAGTGTTCTGAATCTGTGTTCTCCCAAAGGAAATTCTAACTACCAGGTACTCATCTGATTCTTATAATGCAATTTGCTTGCTGATGAAAGCTGTCCATTAATGAAAAATAAATATACGTGGACAATGTTGTTCTCCCCTGGTACAATAGAAATCCTGAAATATCTGAGATACGCAGATTTTTAATGGTCTCAGAACAATTTCAAACACAAAAGCCTTACTTCTTGTCCCATATACAGTTGCCTAGTTGCCCATTTTACTGATTATGTATCTTGCATCATGTGGCAGCCATGTAATCATCTGGCAGTAATGAGAACTTACTGTGGAATATAATTGAAAGATGAAGCAGCATATTTATGACAGCATTGTTTTCTATACCTAACTAATGAGGCAAATCTTGAAAATAAGGTTGTTTGATTTACTTAATATTGAAATCCTTGCCAATTTCCAATGTACTATCATGTATAAGCATATTAATTTAAACCTTAAAGAAACCCAAATAGCCGATTTATTATTTCTTCCATGCATATGTTTTTGAGTATTTGAATATCTCTACATCAAAATAAACTAGATTTTTAGAGAGCTAGGTAGCTTGCGCTGCCAAGTTAACAAGTTCTAGTAAGGTCAGTCTCCCACAATAAATCTAGTTATTACACAGCTATTTTCTTTATGTATGCAGTTTTCACCGTATGCTGTAAGATGGAAAAGGTAGTGGAAGCATGCTCTTCTGCTGAATTTGTTGGTGATAGGCATTCTTATTCTCTCAGTTTGGGGGGGAGGGGTTGTGAGGCAAGCAGAGGACAGATGGACGTTTTTCAGTTGGTGCTTGTATGACCTATTTAATCTGCATAATTAGAAATGGGAAAGTTGTTTATGACGCTGATGCTGACTTCATTTCTAGGTCTTTTTGAGCTCATTTAAAGTACGCTAATGAGAAAAACATTTTACCTTTGGGCAGCAATCTGATTTGTCAGGAAATTCCTCTTGCTATGATGGGTGGATGAGGAAAATTTGGAATAACACGATCCAGATGTTAAAGCTCCCATTTAGCAGCAATGCAGATGCATTATTTTATGGGATTGTCCAGATGGTGACCTTCCAGTATTAATAATAAATCAACACTGTGGGTTTCATCTATATGACTGGATTCCTACCCTTGTCCTTATTTACATGACAAAATATTCATGCATTTCATAGAGGCTAATAGTATTAAAATTAACAATCTGGAAAACATAAAAATCAATAAAGAAATCTGAAACAATTACTGCAAACAATATACACCAATTGATGTGATAACAGCATCACCTGAGGGAAGGTCGTGATACCATTTTTTAAATCAATTAGCATTTCATTTTGCAGCTAACATGATAGCAAAGTTCTGTTACAAATTTGTATTGGAAAGTATCTACTGAAGATGTATGCCCCTTTCAATTTTGGCTTTGACACTTACATTCAGACTTTCAGTCTACTGAGAAAAAAACAGCCCACAGTCCATATAGACTGTGGAGTCTATGGAGAGGCATCACATTGGATGACAGGAGCAAGACAGGCTGTCAGGCAGGCAACTTGGAGCCTTTGATGGCCTCCAGTGAAAGCCAAGAGACATCAGGCTCCACGAACAGGGATACGTAGGGACCACTGACCTGTGGCATGCCAGAAGAGCACTGATGGAGCTCTTTCACATTTATGGTCACAGGCAGCATACTCTGGTACCACAAAGGAAGGGCTGCAGGGTGGAGAAATGCATTATAGCTATGTGATCTGATAATGCTGTGTTATTATCTTTTGCAGTTGTTTCTATCTGTCAACTTATATAAACTTACTTTGTGAAATATGAGTTTCCTCAATAGTTTCATTCTTTCTGAGGTTTGGGGGATTTTTTTTTATGAAATTCTCCTTTTTCTGAGAAGAAGAAGAATCCAGTCCTGCTTCCCTTTAAATCTGTTGCAGCAAGGTCTTAGGTTTTGCAGCAAGGAACACGTTCCTTCAGAATTCTATTTATGGGATTAAGGAAGGTGATTCATCTTCCATAGAAATAGCTTTTTACTCCAGATAGATTGTGCTTTTTGTTTGCATTTAACAAATCCCCTCACCCCAGACCAAATGTAAATTTGAAAACCATTTCCCCTCAGATTTTTTTTTTTATATATTTTTTGGTAAACTTTCTGCAAGGATGCAGGAGCTAACTCTGCAAACACATATCAAAGCCAGTTTTGCTTTATCTTTGTCATCATCAGGTTTCCACAATCCCAAATCCATGGTTTATTAATGTGATCATGGAGAGAACCAAATTTTGACTCTTCAGTTGGTTTCAAATATTTGCTTATTGGAAAAGATGTTGAATATTTCATCACTGTGGGCACTTCAAGCAAATATACATATTAAATTTGATATAATTTCATTTAGGAAAAAGGTTTAAAAGTTTAAGCCACAGCATTTTGTTGTGCTGAGAAAAAGCTTTCGAGAAAAAGCTTTCAAGAGAAACCTTCAGTAGTCAGGTCATGTAACTGAGCAGCATCCCAAATTAATGCTGTCCAATGTGCCCTTCTGAAAGTTTCTAAGAGTTGTTCTAAGGTTTAAAGGCCAAATTGCCTCCACTTATTTCAGAAAACTTGCTCCCAAATCTTTAGTCTGGCAGTCATCATAAATTGAGTTAGAAAACAAACCTGATTTTTTCTTTTTTCAGTAGCATTAATTCTATCAATAGTTTAGTTTTTGGAGGATAGGATGTGGGGGTCTGATGAGTTGTATCCTAGTGTTATAACTACTTGCTGCAGTGGGATTACTAACTATTTAGTAGCAAGGTACAAGGCAGGATAATGTTATTCTAGGGTCAAAGGCCCTCCTGTGTCAGATGCTGTACAAGTCACATTTTTTACATGAGTTTTACAGTTTAGCAATCTTTTAAGCAAACCTAACCATGCAAAATGGAGCTGTAGGAAGTCATTACTTTGAAATGCCTGTCTCAAATTTGTCAACAGCTAGTCACGCTGCTGCAGATGTGGGTTGTTCCTCTTTATTTCACCATCAGACTCTACTGGTGTAGATCCCTGTCCATCTGTGGAATGTTCTCAGTTATCCCAGTTTACATCACTTTCAGAGCAACCTGCAAGCCTTTCTTGGGAAGATCACAACAGTACATCCTTTTTTTATTGTTTTTGCCTTAGTTTTGGGTGGGGGTTTTTTGATATTGTTTTTAAAGGAAAGCTGTAGGAGAAGAGCAAATAAGAATCTCCCTGGAACAAATCTTCATAGATTACAAAAAGGGCCATTAGCAATTATCAAACATGACATGCAAATGAAAAAGACTTAAACAAGAGTTAAAATTAAATTCATTCCATCAGTTTTATTTCAGTTTTTCATTCTTCACACTCTTAGCACCAGCAGTCATTCCAGGTGTTATTTAGCCTGATAGCTCAATTTGGTATACATACCAAATTTCTCCAGTCTTCTGAAATTCTGCCTCTCTACCCTGGACTCACAAAGACAATTATTAATGCTTCAGATGCTGTTTCTGCTAACTTTTAAGTATTTTAAATAAAATTCATTGGTGGTATACTGGCTCGACTATATCTAAATTTTCTCAGTTTCTTTTCACCTGCTCTTATTCTGCTCTGTCCTACATCTTCCTCCTTCAGAATTCCCAACTGTTAGTTTTAATTATGTTAGCAATCTGTTCACAATTACCTTTTCTTGTGAAGCCTTAGGGGAAAAAAAAAAAAAAAAAGGCTTTGGTTGTTTCTCTTTTCCCTGAACTTTTTCATTTTTATTCATGTTTAAGTAAGCAAGAAATAGAGAAGTGTAAAACTTGCATTATATTTATATGAATACTTCAGCAGAAGCTATGTATATGGCATTTTATGTCACTCTAAAAAATACTTAAGGTCTTGAGCAGTCTTTTTTTATCTTATCCACAGGTTGGTCTACAAATGTTTCCTCCTGATCTATAAACTGATTTATGCATTTGGAATTCTGGATTATCTAGCCATAATGTTTGGATTTCAACACAATGTTTGGATTTATTTTCTAGGTTGGTATCTTCACTTAAAATTGGGATTTGCAACTGTTATAATTTCCTATTCAATAGATTTTTCTTCTTCTGCTCCAGGCGGATCTCTTCACCACCCACTTCAACATCTGAAATCCCTTTTACGTTGTGTAGCTGTAGATTCTCTCACTTCTTGATTTTTATAGCCACATAGTTGTTCTGAAGTCTGATATTTAGTCATTTTACAACTTGTGCTTCTGGTGTGAAGAGAGGAGGGGAAAAACTTAAAAATTCATACATGTGTTCACTCATTTAATCCCCTAATTTAACTAAACTAATCCTCACTTCTTCATTTATGTACCTGGAGGAGATGAGACATAAAAACGCTTGACATAAACAACAAAAATAGATGAGCGCATTCATACCAAAACCACATTCTAATTCTTTTTGAAAATTATGATTTCCCACTCTACTAGGCTATAATGTTGCTAGGGGGTTCTCCTCTTTTTATTTTGACTATTGCCAAAGACAATCCTGTACTCTTGATCCCGCTGAAATTTTTGCCTGGGTAGAATTTGGATTTTCTTTATGTTTGTCCAGAATTCCTGTCTGACAAATAGCCCAGCCAGAGCTACTGTGCTGGACCCTGTTTGAGGTACAGTCTGACCAGAAGTTCCAGGAATTCATCAACAGTGTGTTGATCAACTACATAATACATCTGCTATAAGTCCAACACATCTTGGAGCTATTGGAGATATTGCACATAAATGAATCAGTTGTTCCATTAAGTGTCAGATTTATTGCTGTATGTTGTATAGTTGATTAACTCTGATGGAAAATTCTGGGCAGAAACTTAACAGTTTTGTGTTACCGATACCATTAAGCTTTATTCAGCTGAGGTGTTTTATTTAACCAGCTAAATGCCCCCACCAGTGTATTTCAAAGATATCACTACAAAATCTGTTAGCTCTATTTTAAAGGTTTTCAGTTAGTGTCCTATTGCAGCAGAAATGATGAGTCTTTCTTAATGTTTAGAAGCTCTATTTTTATGAGTATTTGGTAGCCAGATTTCAATCTTCCAAGACCTGTAACACATATAATCTAGGAGAGGTGGCAAGAGATGTTTGTTAACATTTTTGCAGACTCTATTGGACTGGGGTTCTGAGGGGATAATGGGTTAAACACAGCTTGATGAAATTTAGCAAAGATTTTATTCAGGAGAACAGTGGGCTCTTTCAGATACTGCCTTATTTAGATTTGGCTGATCTCATTACTTCTGCAAAACAATTACATCTATCTAATTGTTCTGTATAATAAGACTCTAAGAAAAGTCCCTTTCTGTAAGAAAATGTGTCAGTTTGGCCTTCCTATAAACAGAGCTAAGTAGTTATGACTCCAAAAGCAGTTCATAGCCTACTTTCAATGTTGCTTACCATGAAGCATATTGATGCTTCCAAGTATGAGTGTGTCTGCTGCTGCAAGAGAAAACGAAACTAAACCTGCAGTTTGAAGGAAGCAGGAGCTACCTGGAGTAAAAAAAAAAAACATTGTTGATATTTTATTCTGACAATTTGGACAAGAACAGACCCACCTGAGTACTCTTTTGTAGATTTATGAATGAATCAAGTCTGATGGCTCCATGGATTTTGCTGTGTCACTGTTTCTTATGGGCTGTACTATGGAGTGATGGAAAGAGACTTGGCAGAGATTTGTTCTGACTACATGGCTTACACCGTTTCTCTAAGTGCTGAGGGTCACCATCCTGAAAACCACTTGGAAGGTCTGGAAGTGAGCTGTTGAATCTCTTGTGCCTCTGGGCTCATGAGACTGAGTTCTACTGGATACTTTTGCAGTAGATTAACCTTGCTTTTCATGAGGAGAGCTGTTTTTGTACCACAGACAAACTGCTGAGCTCCCTCATCAGTCTTATGATTAGAAGAATAGTCTTAATGAAGTAGTAACCAGCGACATATGCCAGTGTCTGATTTGGGGTTTTCAATAGGTGGGCCCCTATGTACAAGAGACTACATAATTTTCCATAGGAGTCAAGCTTCTTCCCCAAAGTTTGTGAAAGACTCTTCTTGCCCTTTCCTTTTTATAGCTCCTATCTTCCCTTTCCAAATAAAGCGATTATCTCAGCACAAATCTCTTATGTCGCAGTTACTTAAAATCAAGCAGACTGTTGCTGAATTTTTTTGCATCAGCACTAAGATTTTATTTTGTGTGCATCCTGGCAGTAGTAAACTGAGACAACTGTAGCCATTTCTGTGTTGCCCTTATCTCTGGCAGCATTTAAAATGTATTTATGCACCCTTGACTTTAAGCAAATATTTTGTTGTTCTTTGGCTTCTTTTTTCCTGTAAATTTGATCTTGACAGTTTTACATCATCAGTGGCATACCAACAAGGAATTTGTCCAGTGACATCTGTGCAGTCTGTGGGCAGAAAATTCTTGTGGGTATAAATGAAGAAGGGATTATTGAAAATACCTACCAGCTGTCCTGTAATCATGTGTATCTTTTCCATGTAATTATGGAACACTTGTTTTCTCCTCTTTTATACTGCATTAAAAAAATAGTAACAGCAGCAATAAATACTAAGAAAAAAAAAAAAAAGGAACCAAAACCACATTCAGAAACAACGTAGCAGAAAAATAAAAATAGGAGCATGAAATATATTTCAGTTCTGTGACACAAGTTGAATCCATGCAGCTTTTTGACAGATGAACTGATGCAAAAGTGTCCATAAGACCAAAGTTTGTATCCTACTTCTGCCTTCCAGGTACTTTGTGTGCAGCCGGTGTGGGTGTGCTTGGCAGTATGTTAGATTAGGCATGCTGACCCAGTGGTCAGGTCTGCTAACCCAGACTCCCCCATACAGCAGAGGATTTCCCCCAGCTGCACCTGGGGCTGTGTTTGCTGGGTAAATTTTAAGGCAGATGTGGAACCTTTCTCAAACATGGCACGTACATACCCTGTGGCTGGACAGAAGATGCAGTGTCTCATACCTGGGGATACCAAACAGCTCATCACTTTGTATTCCAGAAATTAAAGTGAAAGGTATCACATATGTGTTGGAACAATATTACTAATAACCCCCTTTTGCAGTTCATAAAAGTATCCTGGCTTCTTGCAAGCTGGAAAATATGAATACCAGTCTAGATGTTCAGGACATTGGATTTAACTTCAAAATAATTCCAAATGTTTTAAGTAAATTGAAATTGCTCGGTTATAAAATAAAGCAGTATCCATAATCAGTCATTAAAATAGTCTGTTGATGGTTTGACTAGGTTTGCAGATGTAAGCACTGGACCTTCTTTATATTTGAAAGAACTTTTAACTATACACCTGATCTCAGGTTTCATGAATCCTACATCCATGGCTGGTGCCTTGTTGGCAAGGACCAGGCTTGCCCATACTGCCTTAAGAAAGTTAATTCAAAGAGAATGTTAAGTAACCCATACGCTCTCCCTAGCAAGTGCTTTTGATTTGGATTTTCTAAACTGTAGCCTGATTATTTACTAATTCTTGTTTTGATCTGCAGTGAAAGGATGAGATGGCCACATTAAATAGGTCAAAACCCAATTATTATTAAGGAACAATTACATTTAGGGAAGATGATAGTTATGTTTGGCTTTCTCTTATCTAAGACCCCAAGCAAGCTAGGAAAAGTCCATATATTTCTTCCTTCTTGATTTTAAGACATCCGGAAATCATTTTTATAATGAGAGGAACATTTTAAAGAATGTAAATCACTATTTTAGAAAGACCATGCAGTGGATTTTGCTCTTTAATGAAATAACAAAATTGATATAATCCCCTTTCAGAACAAGTGCTGGTTTCCCTGTCTTCTCTTAGTAGTTAGTAAACAACATTTTTTTCTTTAGTAAATGAAATCATAGTTGAAGATCTGCTGCTGCCGCTGAAGATACCTGCTCAAGTAGAAGCAAAGTTTGGCTTGCTTTTTTGAAGCCTATTTTAACCATTTATAGGGAGGATATTTAATTTCAACCTGACCCCTATTAAAAAAAAAAAAAAGTAAATTAGAAATGTTGAAAGCATTTCAAAATTTTAATCCTTTTTCTTTGATTCTGGCTAAGAAAAAGACTAAGATTTACCTATTGCTGCATTTTTTCTGCAGACTGCTTAACAAAAGAGTAGGTGAGAACACATATATATTGTATAGACAACTTTTGGACTGGCTCTGCTACCTGGTGGCTTGGCAACCAGATGTTATAAGCCTCATCCAAGACATTAGTTACTCGTTGGGTCTAGAATAGGACTCAGATTATTAATCAGAATGCAAAGTGTTGGATATTTACTGGTCTATAATGATATGTATATTCTGTACGTAATTTTAAAAGACTAGAAAAAATAGCAGTTGGTTGAACTCTAGTGTGCTATACACCCTTTTGCAAGACAGTGCCTCTTTTTGTATTACAGCAAGGCTGTTCAGCATGCTACTAAAGCATTTCTTTAATTTACTCAAAATAAGAATTAAAAGAAATTTCTGCCAAAAGGCCCAACTCTTAATAAACAGCTTCTCAAACACAAACAAAAAGAACAACCAGATCAAAATGGATGCGTACGTCTTGCCGCTTAGCAGCTGAATGATTGACATCTATACTACTCTGGGCACACTGTGGGGAACTGAAACGCATGATGTTTATCCAAGAATGGTGAGTTCTTCTTAGGAAGTAGAGAAGCTGGTCTTAAAAGGTAATTAGCCTAGCTGAAGTAGCTTTGGAACTCAAATGAAATATGGTCAATATACCAACAATCTTTACATTGTTATTAGAAATAAGAGATAAAGATTTAATTTACACTTCAATATATAGATGAGAATAAAGCAGAGACCACACAAAGCCATCTACTGATGAAGGTAAGTTTTGGATACTAGAAGTAGAAAAAGCTGCAACTAAAAATGTTAATTAAATGAAATAAAGAGCAGAACTAAAGTATATCAAAAGCAGATGGCTTTGTTTATTCAGATGAAGTAGCAAACTTAATAATTCTTACAATGTGTCATGCTTGTATTCATATATGCAAAAATTCACATAAATAAATCATTTGTGTTACACAGACAGAGTTGCCCAGCTGTGGGTGTAATGGAAGAATGTTTGTCCTCAGCTTTCTCAATGGCGAGCAAGGACAGGGGGACTTCAGCTCTCACTGACATGATGGCTCTGAGGAGAATTTCCAAAAAGCATTAATACAATAGGTAATTAGCTGTGAGATGAGACTTTCAATGTACCAATTCAACTACAAGTATTGAGGTGTTTAAACAGAGATTTTATATGCATTAGATGCCCAAGACCAAACACAACAATAAAACACTAACTTCGATGCTATCTTATCGTGGATATAACCAAACGCTGTAGGCAATTGCATGTGAAGGGTTTTAAGGTCTGCTTCTCTATATGCCTGGAAATTCCCTACACTTTGTGTAAGCACTGTACTGATCTGGAAGTTAGTTGTCCCTCTGGCCTACCAGACTCAAGATGTTAGGATTCTTCTGAAATTTCCTCTGGCTGCAAGGCAGCATCACCTAAGATACTCCTTTCTTTCTAAATCACCTCTGAAGGAAGAGCTTAATGCCAGTGTTTCCCATTTGTTCCACTTTTCCAGCAGTTAGAGGCCTTGTCCCAGTAATCTAGAGAAAACATGGGTCCACCAGACAGCAAACATGATATCTGCTCTTTACCTTCCTCACTATGTCCTCTCTTCATTTATAGAGACAAGAGGTAGGAAACACCATATTCGTGCCTGTGCTAAGGCTGCTGATCAGAGAAAGGAATAACGGTGTTAAATTGAAAGACTACATACATATTAGTGTTTCCCATATTCTAGATGAGAATAGCTTAAACTCCATTTGAAAAAGTCAAAAGAGTATTTGGACAATACTCTGAAACACCTATTACCACATATGGCACAGTGGAACTAGAGAAAAATCATCCTCCGTAGGCATCTTTCATCAAGAAAGTTGTCTGCCATGGAACATATATGCTACAACAGCCAAACCCACAGTGTGAAAGTGTGTTTTTACAATAAGCCTTGCAGACGTGATGCTCTGGAGATCTGGACATTTAACTCATGGCGATTGTGAAATGCTTCTGAGAATCAGTCCTTAGATCCACAAACTGGTATAGCTAGGACAAAAACCTGTGCTGCATAAACTGACATTTATTGCATTTGATTATAAGTGGTTTGCACAAAGAATGCAGAAAACCCCTTGGTTAGGCAGGCTCTCTTCGAAACCTTTTACAAAGATAGAGATATATAAACTACATAGCTGGATACATAAATGACTTTTCATCATTAAATATTTAAATGAAACAGCTTTTGCTAACACTGTTGATTAACATGTGTAAACAACTGTCATGCTTTAACCCCAGACAGTATCTGAGCACTACACAACTGCTTCCTCACTTACCCCACAGTGGAATGGGGCAGAGAAATAAGTAGGGTAAAAGTGAGAAAATTCATAGGTTGAGATAAAGACCGTTCAATTGGTAAGATAAAAGCTGCATGCATGAAAAGCAAACCAAGGAATTTGTTCACCAGTTCCTGTTAGCAGGTAGACGTTTAGCCATTTCCAAGACAGCAGGGCTCCATCAAACTTAACAGTTACTTGGGAAGACAAACACCTTAACTCCAAATGTCCTCCCTTCCTCCTTTTTTCTCACAACTTTTACTACCAAGCGTGACATTATATGGGATCAGACATCCTTTTGGTTGCCTGGGATCTGAGGTCCCACCTGTGTCCCCTCCCAGCATCTTGCACTCCCAGCCAACTCACTAGCAGGACAGAGTGAGAAACAGAAAAGGCCTTGATGCCGTGCAACATCTCTTCAGCAATAACTAAAACATCCCTGCATAATCATCACTGATTTTGTCACAAATCCAAACCACAGCAACAAAAGAGAAACTAGAAGGAATATTAACTCTATTCCAGACTGGATCAGCAAAACAATCCATGACCACAGCTATAATAAAAAAGTAATGTACATGGATACAAAAAGAAAGTAATAGAATTTATAGCATTATATATTATGTATATTATATATATAATATATATATTGTATATATTAGAAGCTCAGCCTTCAAATCTCAACATACAGATAGGTGATAAGATGAAACAGGAAACAAATCCAAAATATACTTGGAATTTAAGTATTCCTTAATGTCCCTCTCTAGGATTTTAGAGCTATTTTCAAATTAAACCAAAATATCGCCTGTTGCTCTTCTTCAAGAGGCCACTCCAGGTAGGTCTTGGTGTTCATGATCTTCCGCAGCTTGCAGAACCTCTTGGGAATCGCTTGACTCTGGATGGGCTCCAGAAGGATGAGAATCGCTGCGTCGTTGTTCTCATCAAAGAGGCGGAAGTGCGAGAAGTCCAGCTCATATTTGCACCACTCGCTCTGCACAAAGTGCTCGGACAGCACAAAGAGCGTTTTGTGGCTCTTCTCGATGGAGTCAATGATGTTGTCCACGATCCACTTCCCGGGCACAAAGTCCCGCTTGTGGAGGCAGAGCCGAAAGGGGGGACAGGCCTGCTCCAGCTCCCGCACCATGATGTTTTCCACCCAGTCCGAGTCATTCTCGCTGTAGGAGACAAAAGCATCATAGCAGAGGTCCTTTGGGGGAGCTCGCCGGGGCTTCCGCTTGGCTCGCAGCCATGCCCAGGTCATTCTCAGGTACCAGACCGTGTGGTACTTGTAGCCGACAGCCACGAGGGAGAGGATGGCCAGGAACACCAGGGTGCAGATCAACGACACCATGAGGGACTGGTGGCACTCCATCAGCGAGAGGTGCACGGCTCCAACCTGAGCCCCTCTCACTGCCAGGGGAGAGTCACACACGTAGCTCTGCGGCCACCCCACCAGCACCTGCGCTAGTCCTGCCTGCTGGTGGATGAAGGAGAGGAACTCACAGGAGCAGATGAAGTTGTTGTCGCCGGCGTCCAGCAGCTCCATGTGCTCGAAGGACTCGAGCTCTGCCTTGGAGAAACTGTTGAGCTTGTTTCCTCTGACCGACATGGCCACTAAGTTAGGGATGGGTGCTGCATCAGGCAAGGTCTTCAGCTGGTTTCTGGTGAGGTACAGCTCTTTCAGAAATGGGAGTCTCAGCCCAAACTCCTTCAGGTTGTTCACGCTAACATCCAATACTTCCAGCGTTGGGGGAATGCAAGTCGTTACCTTAGGAATTTGAGTTCTGGAGAGGTTTAAATATTTCAGGGTCTTTGGCCATTCACACACATCTGGAATATCACCAAAATTATTTTGGCTAATGTCTAGGAGAATTAGGTGTCTCAGATGAGACAAACTTTTACCCGTCATCCCTAAGTCACTCAATGAGTTCTGACTTAAATTTAGAATTTGCAGTGAGGGCCAACCACCCTGACACGCTGAGTGCTCCAAACTCTGGTCTCCAAGCAAATTCGAACTAAGGTCAAGATACTCTAATGATCGAAGGTGCTGTGAAACCCTGCATGGTACCAAAAAGACCTTGGTGTTTTCAACTGTGACTTTGGTAAGAAGACTTAGTAGACCTTCCACATCCTGAAGGTCTGTAAACAAATAGAATTGCTCTATAGACAATTTATCTATTGTTATAATTTTAATAGTCTGTGACTGATTTACATGAATTTGCATTTTCCATCGTCCAATTCCCATGAGTCTACAGTCTATAAACTCAACCTCCTCTAACTTTGGCATGTCTGCTATAATGCTGACAAACTCAGGAACAGTGGCATCTGTTATTAAGGTCTCTTTGAAAGAAATTTTGCTTGCAAAGGAGTGAGACATGACTCTCAATAGTTGTGTTTCAGCAGGTTCATTGAGGTCAATTTCTCTCACTTCTAACCAAGTGACAGAGTGCAGAAGGTCCCTGACAATTGCTGAGACTATGCTAATGTTTCTCACGTTTATGATCATGTGATTTATCTTCCTAATCAGCTCCAAACTTCCTGGCTCGTAATGACTGAGGTTGCCCCCGTCAATCCACAGCTTGTTAAGAAGCACAACGCCCTCAAAGTTCCCTTGCCTTATTGTGGAGAACCATGGGTTGCCCAGGTGGAGAGAGCTCAGGTTCCTCAGCTTAGAAAACAGGGGGCTTTGCCCCAGGTCTCTGTAGGAGCTGCCTTGCAGGTGGAGGTGCTGGAGTGAAAAGAGACGCTCAAACCACGCAGGGGACAAGTGAGCCAAGCTGTTATTTGACAAGTCCAAGAGCTCCAGTTTCCCAAGGGAGCGGAACGAATCCTCATCTATTGAGCTGATTTTGTTGGCCTGCAGCAGCAGGGCTCTCAGGTTCACAGCCTGCCGCAGGTCCTGGGAGTGGATGTGCTTTATCCTGTTGTGGGCCAGGTTTAACACTGTGGTTTTGGCTGTGAGCCCAGGTGGAATGAATTCCAAGCCCATGGAAGAGCAGTTGCAAATCTCAGTAGTATCACAGGAAGGACAAGTCTGCTTCATCTCTTGCTCTCTCGAGAGATTTACAGCTAAGACCATGTACATGGCCCACACTTGCCAGGTGTGTGTATTCATTATTTTGCCTTAAAATATAAAATACAGTCAGAGCAAATATAAGATGAATAGTTAGTTTTGGAGAATGTATGTTTTGGATTTATCTAATCCATAGCCTTTACTGTTCTCTCCAGTTGATTCTACTATAAATATATTTAACACTGTTCAGAGATTAAAGAGATTAGTCGAAACCAGGCATACTATACGCAAATATTCCAGAATTATTTATCAAAAGCTACACTCCTTGGATTTACTTTTTTTCCCCTGCGATTTCTAATTCCATGAGGACTATCAAATAAATTAACAGCTGCACAAATCTTTAGCTGATTCACCTCAACATCTGAATAATCACAACATTACTACTAACCTGATCCTTTGCCTGTTTAGGGTATAGTCCTCATACACCCCTCTTCAGCCCTGTCTTAGGCATTTTTCTTCTGAATTTGTGAGTATTATTTTGTGCATATAATTTTTTACTAATTCTAATCCCGGATATGTTAAGAAGAGTCAGCATCTTGCAAGAGACGGTGACATTCGCATTTAATATTCATATCAGGTATATGTCTAATCTCTATTCTGACAATAAGGAGAAGAATATGCTTCAGTCCGCTTCCTCATTTTATCTGCCTTAGGCTATTCTGTTTGTAAATGTGCTAGGAGCAGGGAGAGAAATATTTGCCTGGATGTCTGTGTGGGCCATTATTATCATGTTGACAACAGTGCAATACTTGCTAATGAAACATAAGCTGGGAAAGCTGACCATTGTAGCTTACTGACTCTTAGCTCTTCCTTTTTACTGACAGACTTCTCTGCCAGTGGCTTTTTCTGCTTTGGGTATCTGTGGCAGGGAGGAAGTCAGGCCAAGTCATGAGAAAGAGCCAGGGGCATTTGGAGCCTCCTGCAGATCAGATCAGCTGGACTAGATCAGCTTTTTCCAGGCCCACAGCCTGTTCCTCGTCTGGACTGAAATTATTCAAGAGAAGCTGCACAGCTGTGGATCCTGTGTCACTTCTCTTTCCCGTCAGAGCCAGGCCTTTCATAGTACTGATTTGCCATGGCATTTTGTGTTACAGAGCTTGCTGCATATCCAGTCTGTCCTTACTCCTGGCGAGGTGACTTTAGTTCTTCTGTCTCTCTGAGGAGTTGGAAAAACAATTCTTGAAGCCTGAATCCCCTTCAAAACCCTTATTACATATTGAATTATAACCCTTTTTTGTTTATGCTTTCCTGACATGGATCAAGGAGCACTTTTGAAACTTTACTTTTTCCAGCATGTCACAAATCCCTCCATTTCTGTAGGTATCTTACTTAAGAAGGTGAAGAGTGAGCTGACCCCAAAGAAGACAATGAACAGGTTCCCAAAGATCACAGTGGGCTCTGTATAATCAGGTTAGATTGATTGAGAAGTACTTTCTCTCTCAGTCGCCACACTAACACTCTGTGCAAAGACCTACTGTCCTTTGAATTCATGCTCTAATTTGCTGTACAATAGCTGACCCATGCAGACAAGTTCATGCGGACAAGTTCTTCTAGTTACATTATTTTTAGCCAGAGTTGCTTAAAATCATTCAGGAGGGGCAGAATTAGCTGAGATTGTTCAGGCATATAGGAGAGGAGGAAAACTTGTGGATAATTTTTCTAATCATTCCATCTCTTCTCACCTGCAGGACTATAAACATTTTGACCTCTTGTGTTATTTTCCTTTAATCTCTGTCTCTCCCTGATGTAGAGCTTTGTGTCTTGAAGGACACAATCCTCTCATCCATCTTTAGATGCCCACAGCTGAGCTAGTCAACCACCGTGTCCTCCAACTTTTAGGGGCAATTCACATCATGTCTCTTGGACATCCACACTAAGATGGGATGACCCCAAGAGAAATTACTGACTTAAAATGGAGCACCAAAGTTTAGATACTTAGATATTTGTCCATGTGAATCCCACCAAAACAAACTGTGGTCTGTATTTACACTCACCTCTTGTACAGCTGAGACTTTTCTATGGGGCTTTTCTGGTCTTGCAGGTCTGGCTGGTTAATACAGTGCTGTAGGCCATAGGAACAAAGCTGTGAGTAAGATGAGTTTCAAAAGCGACAAATTTAAGTGGCGTTTTTGAAGTTGCCATCTAAAAGATTACTGTTTGGAAAAGAAACAACCAGGCAACGTGGTCAATCAAAATCTATCTATAGGTAGGTTATTTACAGATGGAAAATTAGCAGCACAGAAGGGAACTGGGCAGGTACTGAGAAGGAAGTATTCTCTTTCCCTTCTCATTAATGTCTAATAGTTCATCTTAAGACCCTGACTTAGAGAATTTTTCAGGCTTCTCTGCACCCACTCAGAAATATAGTCCCAATCCACAATATCATTGCCCTACCAAGAAATCATTTTTCCCTGTTGCACTGGGAGGAAAAAAAGCCACATAGGAGCTGAAATGCAGCTAAAAATATGGAAACTTGCATAGATGCCTTTATGCCATAAGGCACTGTGATGAACTACACATTCAAATTGTGTCTGGATTATGGACAAATAGTCTGAGCCACCAGACATGCTCAGGATTATTTTCCCTGGCCCAGGCGAGTAGAAGTATTTGAGGAAATATGCACATAAACAGAACCATGAGTGCCAACAAAATGAGGTTGTATAAATGCTAACAAATGCTAAAAGCTAGTGTAACTGCTAAAATTAAGCATGCCAACAGTGTGCAAATTGATTCTAGCTTGGCAAACACTAGCAAGTTAAATGAGAGGTGATAAATTTGAGCAATGCTATGGATTCTGCAGTGTCAGTAGTTGGTGAAGGGATTGATTCACAGGCAGACTTGGGGAAGATGCTGCTTTCCACTTGACTGTGTGTGGATTTCACATATCCTAGCTATCGCCCACAGCATTGCCTTAATCATGTGTCTGTGTATACACACACACACATATATAAGCATGCCTCTTCTTGTTTCTGATATAGAGGGTATGCAACAGGGCAGTTAGGTGGGGAGACAGTTGATTCCACTGTCCTGAAGCCATTGCTCAATGAGCCCTTTTCTGGCTGAATTCCTAAAACAAACACAGCCCATCTTCACACCCAGCCTTCGCAGGGCAGCCGGTATCGACACACAAGTGGGACAACACCCTAAGCACATACAAGGCACCCTCCCACAAGGAAACTGAGCAAGAAAGGGGAGCTATCTCTCCCCTTTCCCGAAGAACATTGCTCCCATCAGCATGTCTCAGCTCTCCTGGCTCTCCTTCCTTTTGCTGCCTGCCTGCCACGCAGCCATGCCAGCTGCCTGCAATTGCATGTGCCAGCTCCACTTCTGCTGGCAGCCAGAAATCCCTCCCTCCCCTGCACTCCTGCAGGTGCTGGCCCCTGCCTGGCAGCCCCAGATACCCTGAATCTCCCATGTAGAAGAAGATGACTCGGGGCAGAGATTATATAGCCTCTTCCCAGTGCTCCCTCCTTGTTTCTGCTCTAGCTCCACTCTCTTTCTGTGCGTCTCCAGCTTCCACCCACCTGCAAACTCACCTCTGTGCAGAAAAGATTCCCAAAGATGCCAGATCCAGCTCCAGTGCCTGCATGCTGGTGAACCTATGTCACATTTCATCTCTCTCTTGCTCTTCACCCAGCTTCCTCCCACGCTGGTGTTTCCTTCCCACTTCACTGATCAGCCTTGGTGATGCAAGCAAGGGAATTCCCACATGGGGGCTCTGATTGACAGAACAGTAACACTATCAGTCCTTTTAAATGTGCCAACTCATAACAATGAACTTATAGTAAGGGCATACTGTGTGAAAGCCAAGGCTTCTCTTACCTCTCTCTCTGACCCTCTCTTTGAAACGACTAGCAAGACATGTTTTCCTCCTTACCTCTAGGCACTCAGACTCCTAATCTGTTTTATCACTGCTCAGTGTTTGCTGTTATAGCATTTGCTCATCACTTACCTGGAGTTCAGCCTGGATTAGCCCATGAGCTATTCTTCTCCAAGAGAGTATATAGATCAGTTCTTTTGTAGCAGACTTTAGACTAACCCTACAAATATCATTATAACAGGAAAGTAGAACTGAAAGTGGTGCTTGGAGCCTACACCCAGAGAAACCACCGTCTCATGTGTGTATTTACGTATAACATACACAGAGGAGTGGGAATATATACATATGCATTAGCACATACACAGATACACATATATATGAGCATGTACAACTTTTAGACATGTGTGTATAAGCAAATTTCCCCTTTTTTCAAATACTCATCCTATACAGCAATGGTTTAGTATTTCAGTACAAAATAATTGTGTGTATAAAGTTTAATCAAGACTCATTTAGGCTCTCCTGCACTTAAACTCTCGCAACACAAGCAAAGGGGAGCATGGAAGAGCCAAGTTAAAGAAACCCACACCTAACTTTATCCCCTGAGAGACAAGTTTCCACAAAAACCTCTAAAACGCAAGAAACGCACAACTGTGACTCATGGCACACAGGGTGACATCAGCTATCTTAATATAAACATCTGTATCTACCTGCTTGTAATTGGTGAAGAGCAATACAGTAGTTCCAAGACATACCTCATACTGAAGTAGAAAGATAAACTATCTCTTATCAGTGTGATTTTCTTTCCTGGTTATAAAGAAAGCTAAGTAGAGCTGTAAGGGGTGCTTGGCCCAATGATTACTCAAATGTGCTGTGCAAAGTAGAAGAGCAGAAAGAAGAAGTGAGCCAGTCTGCAACGCCATCTAGCCCACTCATTTAAGCACAGCCTTGAGGCCCACAGAGAGAGGGCTTCAGCTATTTCTGTGGGTAGGTAGAAGGGAACAACATGGTCACCGTGAAAGGAGAAACAAGCATTCACAGGGAGAAAGAAGCCTATGGAAAAACAAAACAACAGAAAAAAAAACCCACCAACAAACCCCAGTGATTTTATGCCTATGGATTTCACCAGTCATGCAAGGTGCCAGGATGGTTCCTTCCCTCGTACCGAGCAAACCCCAACCTGTGCATGGCGGTACAGATGCTGGTGTAACTAGCCAGAATAACAGACGTGTGAATGGAATTACATAATCAAAACTGTCTTTTATAGTGTTGCACAGCAATGGTAGGGCTTGAGAGAGCTTATTTTGATGTAAGTCCTCAGGGTTTTTTCAGAATTTAATTTTAATTGCTGTGCTATGCATGATGGCACTGAAAATAAACCAGAGGAGAAGAACAGACATGGAGAGTATGGAAACACTTGGCTTTTATTTTAATTTGTAAATTACAATAGTATTGTTAGGAACTAGTCAGGAATGTGGTAACAGGAGGAAAAAGTACAGAAATACCCTATATTCATCTAAATGTATTTGTATACATTTAAGCATATGAAATCCAACAGGGCTTCCAAATATAATAGTCATTGGCAGGGATTTTGACAGATCAGAGTACTAAATCACTGTAAAGCCGAAAGTGGGTCTTTCTCATTTAGAAAGATGATAATTATTTCTATATCCAACAAAGCAAGTTCTCCATAGACAAGAAAACAGGAAGGAAAAATTTCTTACCAGGAAGAAACCCTGACATATACATTATGTGAAATATGCCGAAATAGGGGCTCTTCACTTGTCCTACATCTTCAAGGCTCTTTTCAAATTTTCCCAAAACATCTCCTGCTGCTCCTCACCAGAAGGCCACTCCAGGTAGGTCTTGGTGTTCATGATCTTCCGCAGCTTGCAGAACCTCTTGGGAATCGCTTGACTCTGGATGGGCTCCAGAAGGATGAGAATCGCTGCGTCGTTGTTCTCATCAAAGAGGCGGAAGTGCGAGAAGTCCAGCTCATATTTGCACCACTCGCTCTGCACAAAGTGCTCGGACAGCACAAAGAGCGTTTTGTGGCTCTTCTCGATGGAGTCAATGATGTTGTCCACGATCCACTTCCCGGGCACAAAGTCCCGCTTGTGGAGGCAGAGCCGAAAGGGGGGACAGGCCTGCTCCAGCTCCCGCACCATGATGTTTTCCACCCAGTCCGAGTCATTCTCGCTGTAGGAGACAAAAGCATCATAGCAGAGGTCCTTTGGGGGAGCTCGCCGGGGCTTCCGCTTGGCTCGCAGCCATGCCCAGGTCATTCTCAGGTACCAGACCGCGTGGTACTTGTAGCCGACAGCCACGAGGGAGAGGATGGCCAGGAACACCAGGGTGCAGATCAACGACACCATGAGGGACTGGTGGCACTCCATCAGCGAGAGGTGCACGGCTCCAACCTGAGCCCCTCTCACTGCCAGGGGAGAGTCACACACGTAGCTCTGCGGCCACCCCACCAGCACCTGCGCTAGTCCTGCCTGCTGGTGGATGAAGGAGAGGAACTCACAGGAGCAGATGAAGTTGTTGTCGCCGGCGTCCAGCAGCTCCATGTGCTCGAAGGACTCGAGCTCTGCCTTGGAGAAACTGTTGAGCTTGTTTCCTCTGACCGACATGGCCACTAAGTTAGGGATGGGTGCTGCATCAGGCAAGGTCTTCAGCTGGTTTCTGGTGAGGTACAGCTCTTTCAGAAATGGCAGTTTCAGCCCAAACTCCTTCAGGTTGTTCACGCTAACATCCAATACTTCCAGCGTTGGGGGAATGCAAGTCGTTACCTTAGGAATTTGAGTTCTGGAGAGGTTTAAATATTTCAGGGTCTTTGGCCATTCACACACATCTGGAATATCACCAAAATTATTTTGGCTAATGTCTAGGAGAATTAGGTGTCTCAGATGAGACAAACTTTTACCCGTCATCCCTAAGTCACTCAATGAGTTCTGACTTAAATTTAGAATTTGCAGTGAGGGCCAACCACCCTGACACGCTGAGTGCTCCAAACTCTGGTCTCCAAGCAAATTCGAACTAAGGTCAAGATACTCTAATGATCGAAGGTGCTGTGAAACCCTGCATGGTACCAAAAAGACCTTGGTGTTTTCAACTGTGACTTTGGTAAGAAGACTTAGTAGACCTTCCACATCCTGAAGGTCTGTAAACAAATAGAATTGCTCTATAGACAATTTATCTATTGTTATAATTTTAATAGTCTGTGACTGATTTACATGAATTTGCATTTTCCATCGTCCAGTTCCCATGAGTCTACAGTCTATAAACTCAACCTCCTCTAATTTTGGCATGTCTGCTATAATGCTGACAAACTCAGGAACAGTGGCATCTGTTATTAAGGTCTCTTTGAAAGAAATTTTGCTTGCAAAGGAGTGAGACATGACTCTCAATAGTTGTGTTTCAGCAGGTTCATTGAGGTCAATTTCTCTCACTTCTAACCAAGTGACAGAGTGCAGAAGGTCCCTGACAATTGCTGAGACTATGCTAATATTTCTTACGTTTATGATCATGTGATTTATCTTCCTAATCAGCTCCAAACTTCCTGGCTCGTAATGACTGAGGTTGCCCCCGTCAATCCACAGCTTGTCAAGAAGCACAACGCCCTCAAAGTTCCCTTGCCTTATTGTGGAGAACCATGGGTTGCCCAGGTGGAGAGAGCTCAGGTTCCTCAGCTTAGAAAACAGGGAGCTTTGCCCCAGGTCTCTGTAGGAGCTGCCTTGCAGGTGGAGGTGCTGGAGTGAAAAGAGGCGCTCAAACCACGCAGGGGACAAGTGAGCCAAGCTGTTATTTGACAAGTCCAAGAGCTCCAGTTTCCCAAGGGAGCGGAACGAATCCTCATCTATTGAGCTGATTTTGTTGGCCTGCAGCAGCAGGGCTCTCAGGTTCACAGCCTGCCGCAGGTCCTGGGAGTGGATGTGCTTTATCCTGTTGTGGGCCAGGTTTAACACTGTGGTTTTGGCTGTGAGCCCAGGTGGAATGAATTCCAAGCCCATGGAAGAGCAGTTGCAAATCTCAGTAGTATCACAGGAAGGACAAGTCTGCTTCATCTCTTGCTCTCTGGAGAGATTTACAGCTAAGACCATGTACATGGCCCACACTTGCCAGGTGTGTATAGTTCTTGATTTGTGTTTTGTTTGTCTGAACATTTCGCTGTAGGAAACAGAAAGGAGACAAGGTAGTGTCAGGTTTTATTTTTGAACAGGAACTGAAACAATTGAAAACTTGACATCTGTCTGACTCTCCTGCTTCAGCCACTCAGCTCTGCAGACATGGTGTGCTACTCATCTTTGGACTCCAGGCATATCATGTCTCAGCAATCATCAAGGACCATTATTAATGTTCTGCCTTTTCATATGTGCATTGGCTATGTCTCTCACCTCTTACATCTCTTGCATTGTGCTTCCCCTCAAGAATGAAGCTATGGCTTATGGCTGTATCTTTCAACTCTAACAGGGGTTTAAATGTCCCCTAGTCCAGATCTGGGCTAGGGAATCATGTGCACCTTCAGTAAGCTTGCAGAAGACACTAAGTTGGACAGGAGTGTTGATCTGCGAGAGTGTAGGAAAGCTCTGCAGAGGGATCTGGACAGGCTGGATCGATGAGCTATGGCAAACTGCATATGGGTTGACAAGGCTCAGTGTCAGGTCATGTACCTGGGTCACAACAACCCGTGCAACGCTATAGGCTTGGGGAAGATTGGCTAGAAATCTGCCTGGTGGAAAAGGACAGGGCAGTATAGTTCAATGGCTGGCTGAACATGAGCCAGCAGTGTGCCCAGGTGGCCAAGAAGGCCCATAGCATCCTGGCCTGTATGAGAAATAGAGTGGCCAGCCTGTATTTGGCATTTGTGAAGACCCTTGCTACAAGAGAGGTGTTGAGGTGCTGGAGTGGGTCCAGAGAACGGCATTGAAGCTGGTGAAGCATCTGGGGCAAAAGACCTGTGAGGAGCGGCTGAAGGAACTGAGGTTCTGGGGTTCTTTAGTCTAGAGAAAAGGAGGCTCAGGGGAGACTTTACTGCTCTCTATAACTACCTGAAAGGAGGCTGTAGTGAGGTGGATGTTGGTCTCATGTCCTAAGCAGCAAGTGATGGGATGAGAGGAAATGACCTCAAGTTGCACCAGGGGAGGCTTAGACTGGGTATTAAGAAAAAACTGTATTCACCAGAAGAGTGGTCAGGCATTGGAACAGGCTGCCCAGGGAGGTGGTGGAATCGCTGTCCCTGGAGGTATTTAAAAGACATGTAGACATGGCATTTAGGGACATGCTCTAGCAGCGGACTTGGCAGCGTTAGCTTAATGGTGGGACTTGATAATCTTAAGGGTCTTTTTCAGCCTAAATGATTCTGTGACTATGATTCTAAATGCTCATAGCTTTTGTAGCATCAGCCTGCCCGTATAGTATGGCTACCTGCTAGGGAGAAGCTCAGACAGGAGCATGCTCTTCCTTCTTGCTCCAAGTGTGCTGTGGCTTCCAACACTGCAGACTTCCCCGGAAGAGATTTTGAGGTCTTCTGCATAAAGTCTCACCAGCCTCAGGGTTTTCAAAAAGCAAAGTTGTGTTTGCTCCTGGCACACCCTTTTAGACACTGTGTAAGCAATTTATATTCTTTACTGGAAAGGCAGAACATGCTGATATGCAACCAAACAAGTCTATCACCCTTTTCTGAATACCAACGCTGGTAATAGATGGGAATTGGATGTTGCTGTCAACATATAAACAGTGAATGTAATTAGAAAAATACTGATTTTGATTTACAGAAGGTCTGTGTTTCCTGCCATGGGTGCCAAAGATCATTTTTGCATTGGCTACACCAGAAAGTAAGTCACTTATTAAAGTTCACAAGCTGCTCTTAAACAGTTCCAGTACTGCAGACAAACAATACCCCCAAATCCTGAATAACCCTCCAGTAAATACTTACCTTGTGTACTGCATGCTGTGTTTCAGTTTCCTTGTGTGAGAATCACGTATTCTGGGATCCAAGTGATCGCCTCGCACCTGCGAGAACAACAAAAGCTGTAAACCCTTTGGCAGGTCTGATGTGATAACAGTCCTGGAGTAAGAAAATATTTCAGTGTGCTTCTGAAACAAAACTTTATGTTAACTATTTCCCAATATCCTCTAACTATTCAGCCTGTGAAGCATACCGGTCTACACAACTTTTGTTCAATGATTGCTCTTCTAAGGAATCCATGGCTTCTGAAGAGCTTGTCACTGTCCGGCATACATGACGCTGCCCTTCAAACTCACATTTCAACTTCTTCTACCACTTCTGCTGACATGAAAATAAGCATAGATTGTGTTTGCACTCTCTTCTTCTCGAGCTGAAATTCAGTGGCAGATCGCTCTCCTTTTGTCGGTCATCACCCATCACTGGAAAGGCTGATGCAACCATTTTGCGTAAGTCGGTCTTTCACAATCACTTCCTCCAGCATTAAGTGCAGAAATAGTTCCTAGGCAGAACTGCATTCACCTCCCTGTATCTCTGCTTTTGAGACTTATTGTTTGGTATGCACTGGGAGGTTATTAACTATACTGAGCAACAGACCATTTGAGAACAGCAAAGTTATTTTGTTGTGTAGGTTCCGTAAAATGTTATCAATAAATAAATTGATATATGTATTAATTTGATAAAAAATTGGAGTCAAATTGTTCAGTCAAAGTCAGTGCTAGAAAAACATGTAACATCATTTCATTTTCTAGGACACAAGCAGACCTATGTTATCAAGGAATAGAAAATGTGTAAGAATGGGAATGATATTCTGCCTCAAAAAGAAGACAGTTTGAAGGAAAGTATCCACCTGTAAGCATCCAAATCGATTCTGAGAGGGGAGGTTTGATAATATTTTAGCCTGACTGAATGGAAACACATGGTTGGTCAAATGACCATAAAGGTGTAGGGAGTCTTCCTAACAGCTCTGAAAGGTAAACCCATTAAATTCTCAAGGGTGCACAGAAGCTTGAGTACATCTCATAGCAACCTTCAGTCCCACTGAGTTGAAATTAGCATTGCACATTAGGTTAAGAACTTGACACGTTCCAAACAAAAAAGGACTTGAAAAACTGAAATACCTTTGTATTTTCTGTCTGCTACAGAGGATAGATGATAATCATAACATTTTAAAATAGAGACAGAGCAGCTGTGGGACACAGCAGAGAAGGGAAATGGTCTTTTAGTGAAGGGTTAACACCAATTTCCCCAAAGCTACCTCTTCCCTATAGCACCTCTCAGTTCCTGGTCTGAAACAGGGAAGACTTTCAGCTTTCAAAATGTATAAAAATGTTAATTCTGAGTTTTATGTGACTCATTCCTATATGCTTTTGTCATCGAAACTGCAAATCCTTGATACAGTTAAATATATTTATGAAAACTTTTGAAGAAGACCACATATGAGGCCACATACTTCCCTGAATGCGAAATGGGCATGATGTTCTATCTGTTGCAGCTTTGCAACCATGCATTCGTGGATATTTGAGGTAGGTGCCAGCTGTTTCTTCATAAGTACCCACTTTCTCCTAGCATCCAAACTCAACCCACTCTCATCATTCTTCTAAACTCGGCTGGGCTTCTGGTTTCTCTCGGGAAGAGAAGACTGGAGCAACCCTACCCAAACTCCCATGCTGAAGTTCAGAAACCAAGCAGTTCATTTCAGTAAGCTGCTTCAAAAGCCAAGAAACCTGGGTGGGTCTTCTGCTGGTTTCCATCAGTAGGGAAAAAAGTCTACAAGCAACATATCTCTCTCTCGTTCCAGGTCAATTTGTCAGGATTCATAAGGTTATCCGGAGACAAGAAGGTTTGAGGATGTTCAAGGTGGCCGGAAATGCCATCCACAAGCTGCCCCACACACAGAAGAAACACCTGCCTCCCAGAGCATCAGCTGTTAGCCTGGACTTCTTTTGAAATCAGAGTCTAAAGTAGGAGAAAGCTGCTGTCTTTTAAGGTGAGAATATCATCCTTTTTCCCTTTCTCCAGAGTAAACATGTTCAGCATTGAACAAAGTTGCACCTTGTGGGTGCTTTCTCTCAACCTTCAAGTTTAAGCTATGGTTATCCTTCCTCCTTTGTTTAAAAAGAGGGCATGTGCCTTCACCTGTGCCAGTACATTCCTTTTTCCCACCTAGAGGGGCACAGAGCTGCAAAAAGCCTGTGTTTTTGTAACTTCAGGTGCTCCAAGCAGAGACAACGCACAAGCCTTTGCCAACAGATAGATAGGGCTGAGGCAGAACTCTGGCCATCATTTTTTAAGGTCTCTTGTTTCCTGTTTATTTGACTCCCTTTATTTGATTCCCTCTGCCAGCTCTTCCCTGATCCCCAGCTACAGCCTGCTCAGCATCCCTGGCTCTGACAGCTCTGTGCCAGCTCCCTGAGTGCTGGCTGAGGGACAGGCTCCTGCCACAACCCTCTTCCACTGGTAAGCTGCTGCTGCTAGACAGGGCAGCGACCAGTGATGGAGGGCTGTATGAGATGAGTGTTGACCAAACCAGATGTAGAAACAGAAATACACTTATGTGGGATAGAACCCCACAGGGATGAACTTGTTTATCAAAAGCCACAAATCAGGTGGCAACACTGGTCCTCAGCCAGTCTGCCATCAGAGTTACAAGGATTATTTCACTGCTACATTCCCCACTGCCTCTTCTTTCTGCATCTGTGTTGTGTTACTCAAGGAACGAAGCTTTGGGATCAGACTCCAGCTGCTAGAGCCCTGAGTCCTCTCCCCTCTGCCAGCTAGAGGTACTGACTCTTCCATCTCCTGCTGCATCTGGGCACATCACACTCTTTAAAGCACTTCTCCTCCCCATTCCCACATGAGAGGATCCTCCACCCTGCCCACTCCCTTCCTTCCTTCTGTATGTCAGCATCCACACTCAGAATGGTTTTTGCTTTTCTGCTGAGAAAGGACAAGCAAGCAGTGCAGAGAGGGCACAACCCGGGTGACACCCTGCCCCAGAACCCTTGAAGAAGAGGCAGAAGCAGTAGAACGGGGAGGGAGCTTACAAACACGTTGGCCAGGCTGTGTTATGCGCAGAAACGCCTTCCAAATATTTGCAAGCAGTGCAAAACTGCTTCCTGATACTCACCCCTGGTAACCAGGATGTGTCAGCGCGTTGGCTTGTCCACAGCGGTGCCAGCTGGACTGAGTCGGGGGCGCTCTTCTCCTAACCCCCCAGGAAATGGATGGCGAGGAAAAGTGATCAAAGCTGTGCTTGCAGTCTTTGGAGCAGGAGGTGTAATACTCGTGTAATTAAAAGCAGAATGGCTTGGCATCCTTTCACGGTCCTGGAAGCAGAGCCTCGGCATGCACTGTTGGTGCCTGTGCTTCAATTTGACTTGCAGGGCTTCGGCTATTCATCTTCCAACTACAACAAAAAGGAGCTCTATAACAAAATATAAACATTTTTAACTTTGTCGTGTTTGGTATCAGGCCTATCTGTCAGCTGCTCAATATCCTGGTTACGTCTTCAGACTGAAATTTTATATGCAAAGGAGCAGATTCCCTTTATTTTTCTTCTGAGCTATCCTCACCCTGCTGCTGTGGCAGAGCATGGAAGTGCTGTGTAAACGGCTACTCATTCAGCAGCGAGCCTTCGGGACTGCCTCTGCCAAGGAAGCAGCGCTGTGTTGTGTTTTTTTATCATATCCTGTCTGAAAGCATTCAGTGGGAATAACGTGATGCTGATTTGCTGCCTTAACAGAGGAGCAAGCGAGCAGGCAAATTCACAGGCTAAGGCACCAAAGCTTGTTCTAATAATACGGAAAGTTTTGTTTTTCTAGACCAGTTGCATCCGCATTACTCAACAAGAGAAAAGACCTCATTTCTGGCAAAATAGTCCTGATGAAGTTTTGACTCCCAAGGAAGTTGCATCAACAGAAAGCAATCTACATGCAAGGCAAAGCTGGACAATGCAGTTCCTCTCTTACTTGGCACTTTAGGCAAGTTGAAAACTCTTATGTTTCTGAAGCAATGTTAGGATTTTCCATGAATACACAGTTACAAAACAGTAAATGCTGTAGCAAGCTTTGGCACCCTGTTCTGAAGACCACTATGACAAACACGCAAGAACCCATTACCAGCACTGCTCAAAATTGTTGCTCCAAAATGAGAACTGAGACAACTCATACAGAATGGGTCCCCCCAGCCTTCACTGCTTGCTCCCAGAACTGCATGGAGGTGGATGCCAGAGAAGCATACCTGGGTACCACTCAGTATTTTGAAGGACTTCTTTTCTTTGCACTGCATCTTGTTGTGTCAGTCAGTTTTCTTTGCTGTACCCCAAGCTACAGGACAGAGATCATGCACAGAGAGCATTTGGAGACATAAAACATCTTTCCAGTTTTTAAGAAAACAAGGTGCCATGCCTATTCCAAAACAAGGATTTTGTAGGTTTCCAGATAGAGCCACAACCACCCTCAGCTCTGGCCTCACAGGAGGCAGCAAACCTGCTTGCACTGAGATGGTGCTGTCCCCCCAGTACATCCCCAGCTATCAGGGGCACTGTAGGTACCCCAGGGTTGGGTTCCTCAAGTGGGCTGCACTGTAGGGGGGTCAGGAAATGAGAGGAATGGGATCTCTTACTCTCACTGTTGGACAGCTTCTGCTTCATTTCTGCTCACCAGGAGAGAAAATACCCTGTTACAGCCCACCGGGTGCAAGCCATCACTGGCAGGCTGTTGTGAGGAAGTTAGGGTTTAACATCCCAGCACTGGAATTTCCCAGAAGGAGGAAAAACAGCTTTGCTCAGCTCTGGCGAAAAGCTTCTTCAAAAGAGGCTGAGCAAAGGGACACTGTGTCAGTGGGCTTCAGTGCGGGAAAGGTCCATCAAACCTTGTCTTGCCTCACTGAGAGGAATGCGTGGACACATGTCTCATGTCTAGGTCTAACTAGTGCTGATAAAGTACTTGCTTTCTTTCTGGTTTTGCTGTTGTTGAGAGGGTGTCTTTTGTTGGGTTTTTTTTAATGGAAGGGAAACATTCCTGGGAATGGGACCAAGTCATTGCAGATTCAGACAGAGTTTGTTTCCTGAATGGAGGTGGAAAACACTGTGCTGGGGTGCAGAGATACATATTTAACTGCTTGTTGTACCAAAAAAAAAGTAATTGTGTTTAAGAGCTGGGCAAGAATCTGAGCAGGAAATGAAGCAGATCATTATCATATGCCATAAAATATCGAGATTTTTGTGTTTGTTCCAAGAAAGACAATGCCAGGATACGTTAGGTACAGGTAGTTCAGGCTTCGCATTCAGCTGCTGCCTCCTTCTGTCTCTGATGACATGAAATATTTCAGGCATGACAGTGCATTTCAGAAACATAAAGCCAGTCCATTCCAAATCTTTGTTTTCAGTTATTCAAGGCTTCAGAACTTCTTCCTTCAGTGCAGGTACTTCTCTTGATTTACCACCTATCAAAGCTCCATATTTTTAAAAAATAGGGAAAAATCTAATGAGTTAATTCCTAAGTTTTTTGCACTTTCATGACATGTTTCATGAGTCTCTCACAGGGATTATTTCTTTTGTGTTCCTTTACAATTGTATAATTTTTTAAATCAACTTTTTAGGAGCTTGAATACAGCAGAACTGTAAACACCCATGCAGAAAATCGTTTTTACTAAAAGTTAAAATTCTGATCATAAAACAATGTCAGTATTTGAAAAGCATGCATTGACTCTGACAGAGCCACCAAAACATCTTCAAATAATTAGATATTTCCAATATGTGACCATTCTCTGTCTTTCCAGACTGGAACATGATTAAAAGCAGACATCCCAAGCTGATTTTCAAGTACGCGCTCAGCTATTTTAATCATTCCTCCTAAATTACCCTCAGATTGCTTTTCTTGCTCTTTTGTAAGTTTCCTTGAGTGTAGCAGTACCAGCTTAGGAATGATATATTCAGAACAGACTGTGTAACTCTTGTGCCTGTGCTGTAAGATGCCTTTTTGTCCTTATTGCAATATCT